TGGGTAAAGACGAGGGCTTCACCTAGAGACATACCAGCACTATTTCTACGCCTGGTATTATAGGTTGCTCCAAGTGACGACCGCAGAGTTTCTCACGGTCTCCTTATTTGTGACTATTCATTTGGAGTGGTGCGCTGGAAATCCACAGGTTCACAGTGGATTGGCATAGCGGGGAGTAGTCACCACCTGTTGTGACGCTCAAAGGGATAATGGCGGCCGGGCGGCAAGGCACTCCGACCGCATGGAACCTGAGGTGACGGTAGAACGGGGAATACTGAGAAATAATGCCTGACGGGCGGTTATCCCACCCCCTAACACATTCCTATTACACTTATATATCCGGCAAGGCTTTAAACTGTAATAACTTCTATATATAAACCTTAATTATAGGGCAGGATATAGCCCGCTAGAACACTGACCTGAGGTGACGGTAGAACGGGGAATACTGAGGGCATTGCCCCGCCGCTCCTCATCACGTAGGCCTACAGTTTCCAATCTTTAATTTTCACTTTTGTTTCTTATGGTTCTCACCTGAACACTTTTCGGTATATTGTCACTCATGCCTTATAAACACATATTTTAATCCTAAATTACACACTAAGGTAAGGTCTTGGTTTGCTAGTTCGTGGGTAAATTCATGGGGCTATAATATCAACGTGGCATCTGAGGCGGGTACATGACGCGCCTTGAAACAAAGGCTGAATGTTCATGGCGGGGGTGTATCAACTTCACTTAAAACTGTAATGAGGTATCCTCCTCTCACACATTGCACTATTTGAACACAGACATAAGATTCTCTGATCACTGTACCTGTCGTGGGTATATGTCACGTGAGGATACGAGGTGTATTAAGTTCATACCGACGCATACAAGATTATTTCCTTTCAAGTATAGTTTCTGGGTCACTTCCAACACCTCACATAGTTCTGATACATTTATCCTTTTCCCAGATCATTGTTCTCATGTATTTTCATATGATATCTGTGGAAGTTATGTTCGCTACACGTTCACAGACGTAAATAGTATGACCTTCAAACCCTGATCCACACTTAGTCCTACAGTACACTAGTCCGGCTCAACTGGACTTTAACATTCATCTTATGGATACCCTGAGTTCTCCTTAATGCTATGAATACATACAATTAATATGATATAACTGTACCTGGGTACAATACAACACATGGTCTAGTAACATTGAGTAGGTGAGTTATCCTTTATCGATGTTTCCCGTTTTCTGAGGTTCTACAAGCACGGTGGATTTGAATGTTATATAGCGTAATATGAATTAAATGGGGTTTTTAGGAATGACAATGATGTGCGCAGTACATGGTAATATTAAGGATGCCATTGAGTTTGCAGAGAAACTCAAGCTCGTCCTTTCCAACGACCCTGATGATCACCGCTATGAAATCTTCAATAACCAGCTGTTGCAGACTATGGAGCCGTAGATCCAGATGTATTACGACAACATCAACACTAGCTGTCAGCGTAACATCACAGGCTTCTTCGCCCGCAACCCACCAAAGCCAGTGATAGTGACAGTGATGCTATGGACTTTGAGGAATTTGTCAGGGAGGCCCTGACAACTGTGGTGGATAGTGATGGTGATTCACCTGAGGGCCAGTAATCTGCCCTCTGCCTCGGAACCAGCCCCCATCAACATATGCCGACCCATTTCTTCTACTAACGCAAGTGTTAAACCTAACCTAACCTTAATTTTTTCTAACCTAACATAAGTGTTAAAACTTGATTTTTCTTTTACCTGGTAGAGTACTGTATATTATTCTCTTATTGATATTTCTCTTCTATAGTATGTGTGTGTGCATACCATCATAAAGTAAAGATACTATTTTTACTACAAAGTACGTATTGTGTCGCAAAAAGTGGAGTTTGGGGGGTCGGCCCAGTCTCTATTTCAATTAATTCCATACGTTCTGTTATTTCATGTACGCGTTTCTCGTTTTAAGCGGGCCTCCATGGGCTTCCACCGCGTAAATGCAGACTCAACTGTGTATGTATATGTATGTATGTATATATATATATATATATATATATATATATATATATATATATATATATATATATATATATATATATATATATATATATATATATATATATATATATATATATATATATATATATATATATATATATATATATATATATATATATATATATATATATATATATATATATATATATATATATATATATATATATATATATATACCTTGATAAAATCACACGGGAAGATGGAAACAACGGAGTACCTTAGCTTTCGTCTTGAATAAAGACGAAAGCTAAGGTACTCCGTTGTTTCCATCTTCCAGTGTGATTTTATCAAGATTTATCTTATCCACGTTGTCATTGTGGATTTACATGAAATATATATATATATACATGCAAGTAAATCACTGTAGGTGCTCGTGATCCAGGTATATGCTGAGAACCACAAGGAAAAAGACAACCCGAAGTTCCCAAGCGCTTTCGTATAATTCATATCTTCAGGGGCGAGTACAGACTAAGGAGAAGTACATAACAATGTGTGTGTGTGTGTATATATGTAACCGGTCGGAATTTACTGGACTTTAATTTCTCACTTGACTTGGGGTTTATTAAAAATTAATAGATGGTAATGGCAGTGGAAGCGCCCCTTTGAGAAAATCCAACTACACAAGAACACTTAAATCTACTAAACAAAATGAATTGTCCGTGACCCGTGGAAGGATAGCGTCTGTGACTGGGATGAATGAGACACACTGTAAAATTTAGACACTTATATTCCCTCCAACACTACAAACACAATCAAATCATGGTACACCAATATGCGCACCTCTTAACTTAAACTTAAAACACTACTCTGGGGAATAAAAGTTATACATGATATAGAAATTATTAGAAACACAGGCAACAATAAATTTGAAGTATTAAGAAATGCTGCTTGCACACATGAAACAGGCCTTAAGGGCTTTCACAAAATAATATCAGTCACTTAGGAAATGGTATTAAAAAATAAGAAATTAACTACTCTACAATGAATAGGCCTTAAGGGCTTTCAACAAAATAATAGCACCCCAACAGATGCACACTTCCTAACCTAACTTAACCACTACTCTGGGGAACAAAGGTTATACCTGAGATCAGAATTATGAAGAACAATTAGATGCATTAAAAGAATCAAATCACAGTATCACTCTGGTTCCGCTTAATGGCACAAACATTCAAAAACAATACTATCAAAATTATTTAGGACTATTAAACTACACACGTCAAGATAATATCAGTCTGAGGAATGGTGTTAACTACACCCGTAATAAGGGAGGGAAGATGTTCCTCTAGGTATCTCCTAGAGACCTAGACTCACGGTCTCAGTGTGTGACCATTAGTTTACTCAGATAGCCTCAGTGTACTCCCAGTGCGTCCATAAAGCGGAAGGGAGTGAGCCAATCAGACCTTGTACAGTTGAGAGAAACTTTAGCTTCCCATTAGCAAGAGGGTTTCACTAAGCTGCTCGGGACATGTGGTGTTGTGCACCCGAGTGGTAAGAACTGATCACCCACTGCTGATGCTGGTCCCGTCGTTTTAGTTGTCGGAAGCACTCGTTCACTCAAGAGATCCTTTGCTACCCCGCTAAACAGTGACAGGCCTACACTGATCGGTCCAATGGCGACAATCGCCACCCTCAATCATCAACGGCAGTCTCAAACGGCAGTCAATCTCTCGCAGTCAACTCCGGTCAAGTGGGTTCTGACGGAAACCCTGAAATGAACTCACTGTTATCTCTAGTTTACTTTACCACTGCCCTATCTAACCCTGTCTGAGATCGCATGAGACTTACTTGTTATACGGCAATAGCGCAACACAGGTGACTAGGCCACGTGACTATTTCTGTGACGGACGCGCAGGGACGTCTTGTTTTGTATGAATCCTCCCCGTGACTGAGGGCCAGCCAGCGTCGCGTCCTCTCAAGGCGTTAGCTTAGGCCTACGTGACATATTTTCCACCTAACTAATAACTCCTTGGGACACCCGTAACATTATTCAGACTGATAAACGATCTATAATAATTTCAAATTCAATAATAGTCCCTTACTTCATGAATCGCATCATTATTAATTCGTAAATTACATTTAACATTTATGGTGCCTAGTTCAGCAATCTCGTGAGCAGGCAGCCTCAGATGACCTTGAACGCCAGTATCGCTTAATGGCGTGGGCATTTGAAATTACCTGAATATATATATATATATATATATATATATATATATATATATATATATATATATATATATATATATATATATATATATATATATATATATATATATATATATATATATATATATATATATATATATATATATATATATATATATACACAGGGTGTCCCATAAATTTCCATACAGAGGAAAAATAAATTTTATATGAAAATCCACTTTTATTTATATAATATGCTCTACATGACTACCATTCTGTTGAAAACACTCTTCAATGTGTGTCCTCCACTGCTGAAGAACACGTTCAAGCACAGCTGGAGTTATGCTTGTAATGGCGTTGGTGATACGTTGTATGGAAACCTATGGGACACCCTGTATATACATAGGAGGGTGAGATGAAGTCCACAATGGTCAGGTATTAGGTAATGACCCCACTAATCTTCAAAAAGCACCGCAGCAGTTGGTAGTCAGGTCAGATGGTAAGATGACCCAACCTTCTCACCTGGTTACAAATCTTCTTAATTACGAAATTATCCAGTTTGTACATACCATTACTCAAATTCATGTTGACGGATTCGGTATGTTTAATGAGACTGGATTCTATAATGTTCCTACTGTCAATTGAATTACAAGGTAATATGAGGAGGCATTATCCCAGTCAATGCAATGCTTATTATCCCTCAAATAAACAAACAGAGCATTGGATTCCTGGCCTGTCCTAACACTACGGTATATTTATGTTGTTTAAGTCTAGTTACAAGATCTTTACCTGTCTGGCCTAAGTAAAACATATTACATTCCTTGCAAGAAACCTTATAAATGCTTGTTGGGGGAGTTCTTGTTTAACATTTGTTTAACAGTGCATGAGTTTTTAAATGCCACATTGACGTTCCAGGTTTTTGTCGTAAAGGCAAACATATAAAGGAAATATAAATTTCTTTGCACATGAGTACAGTATAAATGTACCGCCCCCTCCCCCAGGGTCAGCAAATGTTATTCGTGGCCATTTTGAGAACCTAACCCCAGGAATTTGAAGAGCATGTTATAATCGATTACAGTATTTATACTTGAAATAGTTCCTACCAGCATGCAAGACCATACAGTTTTCCACATCATTTTCTGTAAGATCTTTCCCCACAACTTTCATGTAAGATTCTTCTCACCAATGTGTAAAGACATATGTTTCGTCAGTTCACCTTTTCTGGAAAAACTTTTACCACACACTTCACACTTAAAATTCTTCTCACCAGTGTGTACAACCATATGGCTCTTCAGTTCACCTTTTCTGGAATAACTTTTACCACACTCTCCACACTTAAAATTCTTCTCACCAGTGTGTACAACCATATGGCTCTTCAGATGGGTTTTTGTGAAATAACTTTTACCACACTCTCCACACTTAAAATTCTTCTCACCAGTGTGTACAACCATATGCTTCTTCAGATAGCGCTTTACGGAATAATCTCACACACACTTACACTTAAAATTCTTCACCAGTGTGTGTACAACTACATGGTTTTCAGATGGGTTTTCAGAAACAATTTTACCACACTTCCACACTTAAAATTCTCTCTCACCAGTGTAAGAACCATATGGCTCTTTCAGGAAGTCGTTCTCAGTGATAACTTACCACACTCTCCACACTTAAAATTCTTCTCACCAGTGTGTACAACCATATGGCTCTTCAGGTCGTTCTTTCTGTGATAACTTTTACCACACTCTTCACACTTAAAATTCTTCTCACCAGTGTGTACAACCATATGGTTCTTCAGATGGATCTTCGTGTAATAACTTTTACCACACTCTTCACACTTAAAATTCTTCTCACCAGTGTGTACAACCATATGCTTCTTCAGATAGCGCTTTACGGAATAACTTTTACCACACTCTTCACACTTAAAATTCTTCTCACCAGTGTGTACAACCATATGGCTCTTCAGTTCGCCCTTTCTGTGATAACTTTTACCACACTCTCCACACTTAAAATTCTTCTCACCAGTGTGTACAACCATATGGCTCTTCAGATGGATCTTCGTGTAATAACTTTTACCACACTCTTCACACTTAAAATTCTTCTCACCAGTGTGTACAACCATATGGCTCTTCAGTTCGCCCTTTCTGTGATAACTTTTACCACACTCTCCACACTTAAAATTCTTCTCACCAGTGTGTACAACCATATGGCTCTTCAGTTCGCCCTTTCTGTGATAACTTTTACCACACTCTTCACACTTAAAATTCTTCTCACCAGTGTGTACAACCATATGCTTCTTCAGATAGCTCTTTCTGGAATAACTTTTACCACACTCTTCACACTTAAAATTCTTCTCACCAGTGTGTACAACCATATGGCTCTTCAGTTCGTCCTTTCTGGAATAACTTTTACCACACTCTCCACACTTAAAATTCTTCTCACCAGTGTGTACAACCATATGATTCTTCAGATGGGTCTTTGTGAAATAACTTTTACCACACTCTCCACACTTAAAATTCTTCTCACCAGTGTGTACAACCATATGGCTGTTCAGATGGCTCTTCCTGTAATAACTTTTACCACACTCTCCACACTTAAAATTCTTTTCACCAGTGTGTACAACTATTTGTTCCTTTAGTTGTCCCTTTTGGTTATAACTTTGACCACTTTCCAGACATTTACGAGTTTTCTCATCAACAGTCACATGTCGTGTTACATCATAGTTACTGTTAAAACTTTCATCAAACTCTTCACACTTAATATCTTTCTCATCAACAGTCACATGTTGTGTCACATCATAGTTACTGTTAAAACTTTCATCAAACTCTTCACACTTAATATCTTTCTCATCAACAGTCACATGTTGTGTCACATCAAAGTTACTGTTAAAACTTTCATCAACTTCTTCATACTTAATATTTATCTCATCAATGTGTTCGGCCATACAGGTATGCATCTTCAGAGAATCACTACTGTAAAATAAATCACCACACTGTACACA